GACCACAGGAACCTGTTAATGTTAGTAAGGCAATAAAAGAAGGCTCCTGCAAAAAAAAAAAAAAAAAAAACCCACACAGCAGTCACCTGAGCTAAACTGCTTTTTCAGAGACTGACAGTCAAGGTAAAACATAAAATTGCTTCCTTATCACTATTGCTTTGCTTCCAAATTGTGTTGCCTTACCAGAATTTATAGACAAAGATAACAGGACCGGCTCAATACTCTTGGAAAACCTTACAAACTTTAGTGATACAGGCTGTAAGGCAACAAAGCTTTAACAGCATGGCAAGACAGAAAGGGCCTGCCCACTTGCCACACTATTTTGCAGTTATCTAATAACCCAGTTTTTAAGATAAGCCTCACATATGCACTTATTGGGCCCCTAAAAAGACTGGTCATTTTTTTGGATCAGTGGCACTCTCCTGTTCACCTTCCTTTCCTGATAATGTAGGAGTGAATATATCTGTTTAGATTTATACAAACACACTGCTCTGAAAGCCACTGTTTCATTCAGCATTCGAAATAAACTAACAAACCTTCAACAAAAATGTACAGATTTGTCAGAGATCTGTGGTCATGTGATTAATGACAGTGAAATCTTATCTCCAAACACATTTCCTGACTGAACACCCTACTGCACTACAATCACACGCAGGGACTGTGCACTGGAATTTGTTCAGTGCTTTCTTACGTCACTACCTTTTCATATACTGTGCTCTTTGAGTGCTACTCACTTAAGAAACAAAAAAAGGTGACAGTTTTGCAGAATTCTTATATGAAAAAAAGGTTATAATACTGGAAAAAGATATTACAATAATAAAAAAAGCAGAAGTGATGAAATTTTTGCAGAGTGTATGTAGACGTTTTCCTACTTGCAGAGCACAGCTGAATGAATAGCAATATTCGTTCACTTGATCCACAAATGAATAGTCCTCAAACACCCTTGTTTCCAAAATCTCCTTTCTATCCCACACAACTTTATTCTGCAACACTCTCATCCAAATGCAGTCTTTTGTTTGACCTTGTGAGCCACATCCTAAAAACCTATTCCTGATCCATCTAAATGAGGTAAAGAACAGCAAAATATATCCCACTCACCTCAGAGAGCCAAGGACAACAGCATTCAGTCACATCTATAAACAGTAAGAGCAGCACTAACCTCCAATGCAAGACAGACATGCTGTTAGGTTTCCAAGACCTTATCTGGATCTGCTGCAGTGGTCGTGCAGTTTTGCACTCCACAATAAATTCTCACAGGAACCACAGCCAAATTAGCAAGCAACAGCAATGACTTGGACATATTTCCACCTATGTCTTAGTCTTCTTTGTCATAGTTTCAGCTGAGATGGATTTTTCTTCAGTGACCAGTATGCTAAGTTTTGGTTCTAGGAGAAGAACAGTGTTGGTAACACATTGATGTATGTAGTTGCTGCAAAGCAGAGCTGTACAGAGCCAAGGCCATTCTCAGCAAAGGGCTCAAAGAGATGGGAAGGAATAGAACTAGGAAGCCAAAGTGATATTCCATGCTATATGACATCAAGCCGAAGTTGTTTTGGAAGGGGCAGGAGTTCATCTCTCTCTTCCAGCAGAGGATGAGTGAACGACTGAGTGGTACTAAGCCGCCTGCCAGTTTAAACCACAACCTGGTGAGTGCCTTTTTCAATGGCACTCACCAGGATCACTACAGATATGAAGAAGTGAGAGTTCATGGTCTCTCTGTATCAGAGCATACCCAGGAAAATGGAAAATTGTCACATTACTGAGGAACTAAACAAGTAGAAGCTTAAAAAGTAAGAGACACTTTCTATAGTCTGTGCATATTACAATACAATACAGCAGAACCAAAGGAAAAAAATATATTTGTATGCCTGGTTTTAAAACTTTCTTCAATATTTGCCTTTAAATTCAAAGCAGAAGACCTTCCAACATGATATAAAAGTCATAGGATTAGTGAAATTGCTCATAGACTTGTCTGTTGGAATCTAACCAGGCAGATTAAAACATGAGGTTCACAATGCTACCAATCATACTGCATACCCCCAAAATGGGAGGGAAAAGAAAATCTAGATCACCCAGGAGGAAACCTCAGAGGTGTCAAAATGCCTCCAGTATTAGATGACAGATTTAGTCCCTGAACTTTGAAATTTGCTATGTAGATCTATATATATACACACACACTCTTCTGCTAAAAAGAATATATGCAACCATGAAGGCTCTCACCAACCCTCCCCTCAAAGAAAGAGAACTTCATAGTTGCTTGTAAAAACATATTCCATCATGCACAGCTGTCTGAGCAAGACACACCGAGAAAATACAGAAAGTCTAACACAAGACTTCCCTTTGTACTTAATAATACTCTTCAGATCTCCTGATATTCTGTTTTCCACAGCAAAATACAAAGACCTGTATCTAAAAATCACTTAA